TTTATCTATGGGAATGTATAAATACACAGACACACCTGGGTGGAATGAGGGTTCTGTAGCAAATTTTCAAGTCAAAATTTATGTCACTATAACCAATCATCCAAGTCAACCCCTAGCTTGCAGCACCTACCTTTTATATGGATTGTTAATTTGTTCTCGTTCTGACCATGCATGAAACATTCGCCACTGGACATTAAGCAAACAACAATCAATCACGACACATGACTCTGTGATTATTAAAAAAGATGTCAAATTAATACAGAGCAAAAAGTTGATGAACTAGGGTTATGTCAAAGAACATCTTATCCGTTTTCTAAAAAAGTTCATCGTAAGATACCAAGACTTTGTTGATAAATATTGCGTATCAACTTCACAAATAATACATGATTGTCTTGAAGTATAGATTCTTGGTACAGACGTTATTTGTCATCTTAAGGTGGCTCGGCCCTTTAACAGTGCGCATATTTTAAGGCATGTTTCTAACAACGAGCGCCTTGGAAATGGTCGCTTTGAGGGGTTTTCTCAAAAATAGTTTTGACGACATTGGAACGCGGGCGTGTATGAAAGCACCCTTTCCCGATGTCAACAAACCACATGCAAAACGTTCTACAAAACAGGAAATACGTACGGTCAGAACTACTGAGTGGTTTGTTCATTTTTCACAAAAAAAGGACAGAATTATACATGATATATTAAAGCATAACATTAAAAAAAGAAAATATAAATATTGACATGTACGACGGTAAAAAAATAGACTGATTTTGACGAATCACATTAGATTTTTTCCAAAAATAACAGTAACGATAATTATTTGAGACCTCTGATGAATCACGATAAGGATATTTTGACGAATCACGGTAAAATTTTAACCAATTTGACGCTAACAGTAGCCGAAAATGACCGTTTGACGCCTGACGGTAAAGGGCATTACTACCCTCATGTCACCTTACGGCTTTCATGGGGTAGAGGGGTTAAACAAAAGCTCGTAACTTTTTTTAAAGCCTGGTGACCCCCATTTTATTTTACCTTAAAATGCTCAAAAAGATCATAGCTTTGACATATCCGTTTTTAAAAAAAATCAACAGCGGAAATTTTACGAAAAATCGATTTAACCAATATTTTTAGCCTTAAACTGAAATTAGAAAATGCAAAATTTAGACATAAATCTGAAAATAAAAGAATTTTTTAAATCTAAAACAACCAAGGGGATGTTTACATTTCAAATTCAATTGTTTTTTCACATAATTATCATACTGACATGGTTCTAAAAGTCTTTGAATTTGATGAAGTCGTTATTGTTGAAAGGGTGGAAAAGTTTGAAATAGGGTCAAAATCGCACATTTTGCTTCCATTTGAGGGGAAAACAAGCCTGGCGACCCCCTTTTTTCTTTGCATTTTTGGATTCAGCATAAAAAAATCTACAAAATATGTGAAAAATTCTACCGGGGGTCCTTATTGGGGTGAGCCACCTTAATTAAGTGTTACAATGTAAATTGTTCTTTTTATTTGTCTTTGAATATTTATAACCTTTACTGTTGAGTCCATCTTTGGTAATATACTTTTGGGGTGGCTTGGTATTTATACATCCTGCCATTGTGTTATTGTGCTATGGTAATTTTTGTATTCTTGTCATTCACTTTTGCTTATGTACTTCGTCTATTGATTGCCTTTATGCCATTTTGTTTTTCTTTGTTGAAACTGTTATTTGTTTTTATAGTGATTAAGATTATAACACAATGTTGACAACTGTACCCATATTTTTGACATTTTGACCTATTATATAGATATAAGACGATGTGGTATGAGTGCCAATGAGACAACTCTCCATCCAAGTCACCATTTGTAAAAGTAAACCATTATAGGTCAAAGTACCGCCTTCAACACGGAGCCTTGGCTCACATCGAACAGCAAGCTATAAAGGGCCCCAAAAATGACTAGGTTAAAACCATTCAAACAGGAAAACCAACGGTCTAATCTATATAAAAAATGAGAAACGAGAAACTCTATTGAACCACATCAACAAACGACAACCACTGAACATCAGGTTTCTGACTTAGGACAGGTGCAAACAAATGCAGTGGGTTTAAACGTTTTAATAAACTTATTACCTTCATTTATGTCTGTTTGTTTTGCTCACACATTGTTGTCAGTATGATGGAATTCTATGTGACTGTCATACAAGTGAGAGGTTTAGCTACATGTAGCTATAAAACCAGGTTTAATCCACCATTTTCTACATAAGGAAATGCCTGTACCAAGTCAGGAATAAGACAGTTGTTTTCCAATCATTTGATGTGTTTGATCTTTCGATTTTGCCATTCGATAAGAACTTTCCGTAATTAATTTTCATCATAAATCATCACATGAGTTGCTAGTATAAAGTTTAAAATGATACTGACGATAAAATTTATAAAAATCACATTGAAAAACAATCCCATTTTTAGCTCACCTGGCCTTCAGGCCAGGTGAGCTTATGCCATCACTTGGCGTCCGTCGTCGTCTGTCGGTCGTCCTAAACTTTTTCAAGACTCTTCTCCTCTTCAAACTTTAACTGAATGTTCCTTAGTGTATCTAGTTTATAAATTGTATCCGAAGTTTTGAGCCATCAACGACATTGCCGCCATGGCTAAAAGTAGATCATAGGGGTCAAATGCAGTTTTTGGCTTATATCTCAAAATTTAAAGCATTTAGAGCAAATCTGACAGGGTAAAAATGTTCAATAGGTCAAGATCTATCAGCCCTGAAATTTTTAGACAAACCGAAAACAACCCATTGTTGGGTTTCTGTCACTTAATTTGTAATTTTAAGGAAATTTTGCATTTTTTGGTTATTATCTTGAATATTATTGAAGATAAAGATAAACTGTAAACAGCAAAAATGTTCAGCAAAGTAAGATCTACAAAAAAGTTAATATGACCAAAATTGTCAATTGACCCTTGATAGGAGTTATTGCCCTTTAAAGACAATTTTACACAATTTGTTCATCATGTTTGCTAACTTTTAAAAATATTCTCTGAAACTACTGGGCCTAATACTTCTAAACCAGAACATAGGGGTCAAATACAGTTTTTGGCTTTTATCTCAAAAACTATAGCAGTTAGAGCAAAAGTGACAGTATTGGAGTTAAAGTGATGAATAAGTCACGATCTATCTGCTATGAAATTTTCAGACCAATTGGACCACCCTTGTAGGATTACTTTCCGAAATAGTTTATTTTTATGAAATTTTACTGTTTTTGGTTATTATCTTTAATATTATAATAGATATAGAGAGAAAGTGTAAATGGCAAAAATGTTTCTAAAAATAGAACATAGGGGTCAAATAAAGTTTTTGGCTTTTATCTCAAAAACTAAAGCAGTAAGAGCAAAACTGACATAGGTGAAAGTGTTAAACAGGTTTAGATCTACCAAGTAATCTTCAAACCAATAGGACAACTTATTGTTGGGTTACTGACCATAAATAGTTAATTTTTAGGAAATTTTACAGTTTTGGGTTATGTATTATCTTTAATATTATTATAGAAAGAGGAAAGTGTAAATGACAACATTGTTCAGCAAAGTAAGATCTATAAATAAGTCAAATGCCTGAAACTGAAATTACAGGTGAGCGATATCAGGCTCTTATGAGCCTCTTGTTATTATAATTTTGTGAACACAAAAGTCATCCATTGATTGTAATCAACCTTGTTTTATAATTAGTTCTCAATTATAATTCAAGTTATTCATAGTACAATCATACTCAGTTATATATATATATAATAGAAAAACAAAGGATAAGGGGTATCTATCCATGACACAAAATCAGTACATGCGCAACAAAAAGCAAAGGAACAGTGCTTTTATTGCTGTTCTTCATCTCAAAGTCACAGTGATGAGGCCTTCAACTCAGAGCGAAAAAAGACTCACCTAACTGCAAGATTAAAACAGCTCGTAGCACCAGCTTGAGCAGAATTCTTTGCAAAAATAATTTGGATAAGGCAAGACTAAGTAAGATCAATGAAGATGTAAAATTTAACACCACCAAAACGGGGCCTGGTCAAAAAAGAATGTACTGGAAAGTAGTACATATTCAAAACAAAATAATTCCTACGCATAGGTGTAAATATAAAAATATGTAGAATAAGTTTTAGAAATTAATGTTTTTTTAATATTTCTTTGCCTTTTAGTTTGTACTAATTAATGGTACAGAGCTTTCAATGAGAATTTGCCTTCTTTGACAAAAGCCATGATGATACAATATGATATGAGATGGTCAGAATTGTACAAAATGATCAACATGTGATATTCAAAAGCATTATGCCATGATGTAGCCACTATACCAACAGTTTAAAATGATTTGTTCCTAGAAATGATATTTCAGATGCTCTGCTTTGTACATGTGTACAGGTTTAAGATACTGACAGAGTGCCAATGTTAATGCTATGGTACCTGCAGTTCCTCTCTCTAGCATCTTCCTCATAAGTCTTAATTAAATCTTTCAGCGAAAGGTTTCTGTTATATTCTGCAGTGGTTAAACTCAAAATAAAGGAGGAATCTGATGTACAGTAGTTGTCGTCTGTTTATGTACATGTAGTTCATACATGTTTCTCGTTTCTCGTTTTTATATAGATTAGACTGTTGGTTTTCCCGTTTGAATGGTTTTACACAAGTAATTTTTGGGGCCCTTTATAGCTTGCTGTTCAGTGTGAGCCAATGCTCCTTGTTGAAGGCCGTACCTTGACCTATAATGGTTCACTTTTATAAATTGTTACTTGGATGGAGAGTTGTCTCATTGGCACTCATACCTCATCTTCCTATATCTATTTTCTTTTCAAATTTATGCATTGATTGAAGGTTTCCTCCTTATCCCCTACTTTAGCAATGTACCAATCAGTTAGTAGTTTATTGGCAGCTTTTGTTTGACTCATATTATATTAGTGAAATCCAATTAAATATTTGATTAATTATGATATAATCATTGTCAGGTTAAATAAAGTGTAAGATAGAGTTACATTTAAAAATGCTTCAAACCACAGTTATTTAAATTACAAATTATTTCGTATTTCTACTTCATAAATGCTAGCTTTGTGATTCCCAATTTCCGGTGTTGAACTTCCAATCAAAAGTTTTCCTGGTTTGCTGCAAAGCATTGAATATGGAAGTAGGATTTCATCTTCTACTGTATTACAGTAGGCTAGGAGGTGTCCCGAATTGTCCAGAAAATGTAGGGTATTATTGAACACGTCTGATACAATAACATTGTCATTTGGTGTAGCCACTGCATTGCATGGTTTAAATGGATGATTCTTAGAGTTAATATCAGTATGCCCTGTATAAATGTTACTAGCACTTCCTTTCTGTAGGATAACTACTCTTCCTCTCCAGTCCTCTGTAATCCTGTCTATTATGAAAATGTTCCCATTGTTTGTTGAAGTTATATGTTTTGGATCTGTAAACAAATGTTCATTGTTATTTTCAAGTTTGTACTTGGCTTCATAGTTTCCATCCATATTCACCACCATAACAACACCTCCACCTGGTTCTGAGTAGTCTATATATAACTTCTTTACAGCTCCTACTATCAGTTTGTTTTCGTCATTAATATGGATTGCTGTTGTAATATACGGTGTAAAATTATATATTGAATTTCTCAATTCGTTTTCATTTCGTTTTAAAATCTTCAGATTTGAAGTTCGTTCAGAAATAAGGAAATCACCATTTTTTGTCAGTGCTGTTCGAAGTGCATACTTATTGATTCGTGATAGTACTTTAATCGTACTGTCATGTTGTAATGATACTTTCTGTATTGTATCTGGATTAGATTCATGTATCCAGAAAGTATTCTCAGAACAACGTAATATTTGAGTAACTAGACCTAATTCTGTAGTGTACTCTTTGATGGCTTCTATTCTAATTATTTTGTCTTTTTGAATCTCATATTGAATTGGTCCAAATAAAGACTGATGGATATGACCTGGAACAAAATTTGTAAGTTGACTGTGATTCAGATTAACGTTTGGCATCTCCTTTACATCCTCAAGTGCTTTCGTATCTTCAAAGAATTTTGTCATATCCATACTAATTCTTATATCTTCTATCAGCTGTAGTTTGTTTGTTAGATGTTGTTCAAAATGTTTTACCTTGCTACTTTCAGTTTCAATGGCTTCCTCTTTCAGTCTACATAGTTTATTAATTTCACTACCCAGTTCAATAGCATACTCATCACCTACTTCTTTCCAAATTTGTTTCCGCCTAAGGATATCTTTTTGGGTTTGATCCATGCTCAAGTTGTTATTTTCTTTAAGTGTTTTTAATATATCATTTTTCTTTATCCAATCTTCATGCTGTTTTTCAAGCTTTTCTTTCCTATTTTTCAGTACTTCCATCCTCATCCTAAAAGCTTTTTCGATCTCTACTAATTCATGCATTTTATGGGTTTAAGTCACTCCAGTAGGACAAACTAGGAGATCACAAGTTTTACAGAACAAACAGCAGACTTGTCCTGAATGGTCTTTACACTGAATGTCACTGAAGTCCAATATTTGACCTGAATCATCTCCTTGAAGTCCTTCTTCCTTAATTGTATGTTCTTTTGCCTTTTTAAACTTGGAATGAACTTTGTTTTTACATTTATCACACATCAACAGATTACAGTCTGTACATTTCCACTGAATTTTCGTCTCAATTTCACATAATTCACAAGGTAGAGGAATTTGTGCTTTCTGAATTGACTTTGATAACGCCATATTCTTTTATTGTATGTAAAACACAGGTAGACCTTTATACAATCTATTTGTACAGAGAAGTCTATCAATAGAATTCATTTAAAATCAAGACTTTATAAACTACCTCTATATTTAAAGGTAAAATGAATTCATTGATCAATTTACAATTCCTTAAGAACAAAGCGTATAATTTAAACACTACATTTATTGATTTCAAAAAGGGATTTGTTTTGGTGTGTTTATTTTTATTCGAATTTCTTGTCATTAGTGTTTTCTAATTTTATATTTGTAAAGACATTATTAGATTTTGTACTTCATGACAACCAAATGACCAAATGACTTAATAGTTAATTTGTTTCCTCTTAGTATTTAAATCTTGTGTTCTGTCTCAAAGACTGCCATTTTTTTTTTGCATTTTCAGATCATCCCATTGTTATTTATACCATGTGCAAATAAGATTTTTAGTGTATAGGAATCATTCTGTCTGTCTGTTAGTGTACCTAGCAGGTAGGATTTCTCTTACAGCCGATTTCATTGAGTGTAGGAAAAGGTAATATCTTTGGTTAGCTTGCTTGCTAGCTGAACCGTGAAGTCATTATTAGGTTAGGTAAACTACCCTCCTTTATGAGTAGTTTAGTCTGACAGACAAATAGAATTGGTTATCTGTGGAACTAGTCAACTCATAAAGGATGGTAGTTTACCTAACCTAATGATAACTTCACGGTTCAGCTAGCAAGCAAGCTAACCAAAGGTATTGCCTTTTCCTACACACTCAATGAAATCGGCTGTAATATGAATTATTTTGGATGTTTTGGTCTTCAACCTTTTAGATACTTCAGGATTAAACAATAATATTTGGTTTTGAGCTTAACTAATAAGTTAAAAAAAATTAGATATACAACACGTTTGATTTTTTGGTTGGTTGGTTTTTGTACTTTTTCTTTGATGTGATTCCCACAATTTCCTTTTATATCCTTTGATAATGCATGAAATGAGCTGTGATATCTTGTAATTACAAAGTACTTTAAGTAAAATTCCACTTCATATAAAATAATGAGATTTGTTATGATTGCCAGTTGGACAACTATCCAGTGGAGTATGAAGAGGTTTGCAACTATAGGTCGCCTTACGGCACTACACATGTTCAGAGGTAGTTTTTTGTCGAGCCTGTGACTTTTGTCGCAGAAAGCTCAACATAGGAATAGTGATTGGGTGGCGGCTACGGCAGCTAAGGCGTTGGCATTAGCTAACTTCTTTTAAGCTTTATATTTTTGAAGGTGGAAGACCTGGTTGCTTTATACTTATATAGATGTATATAGATGCCTCATGTTATGAAGTTTCCGTCTTTCACATGTCCATTGTCCTTGAATTCATTTTCATGGTTCAGTGACTTCTTGAAAAAAAAGTCAAGATTTTTTGTAATGTTAATTTTTGTCTTATAATGAGTAATAGAATAACTATATTTGGTATGTGCGTACCCTTCAAGGTCCTTATGTCCGTCAGACAGTTTTCACTTAACCTCGACCTCACTTAATGGATCAGTGAACAAGGTTAAGTTTTGGTGGTCAAGTCCATATCTCAGATACTATAAGCAATAGGTCTAGTATATTCGGTGTATGGAAGGATTGTAAGGTGTACATGTCCAACTGGCAGGTGTCATCTGACCTTGACCTCATTTTCATGGTTCAGTGGTTATAGTTAAGTTTTTGTGTTTTGGTCTGTTTTTTATACTTTATGCAATAGGTCTACTATATGTGGTGTATGGAATGATTGTAAGGTGTACATGTCTAGATGGCAGGTTACATCTGACCTTGACCTCATTTTTATGGTTCAGTAGTCAAAGTTAAGTTTTTGAGTTTTTGTCTTTTTTTCTTATACTATATGCACTAGGTCAAACTACATTTGGTATATGGAAATATTTTATGATGTTCATGTCAGTCTTGCTGGTTTTATTAGACCTTGACCTCATTTTCACGGTTCATTGCTCAGTGTTTTTAGTTTTTGGGTTTTGGTCTGTTTTTCTTAAACTATAAGCAATAGGTCAACTATATTTGTTGTATGGAAGAATTGTAAGCTGTACATATCTGCGTGGCATGGTTTATCTGACCTTGACTTCATTTTCATGCTCCATTGGTCCATGTTAAGTTATCTTGGTTAGCTCTGTTTCTTAGAAACTATAAGCAATAGGTCAACTGTATTTAGTGTATTGAATGATTGTAAGGTGTACATGTATTTATTGTTTGGTTTATATGACCTTGACCTCATTTTCTTGGATCATGTCAATTTATGTGATTTTTGAAGTAAAGCTTTATTTTTAGGACTATCAACATAATATAAATGATTAGTAAAGAAGGCGAGGCATTTCAGCATGTGCACTCTTGTTTTAGGTATATACGATTATTTAAGCTTAAATTTACATCACAAATTGATTGACTGATACAACTGACTGATATCTGTTTCTCAATTTGCAAGAGACATTTTTTTCACACTGAAAGATCTTTAGATACCAGCCAAGTCCTCTGATCTGTACCCTACTCCTTTATGTGATATTTTAACTGAGGTGTATTTACAGTACATTGACAAAAGATTGAATACATCTTCTTTCCCCATCAGAAGTATCTGAGGCTCTCTAATATGCCATCACTTTTGCTGTTCGTGAGTTGTGGATTGATTGATTAGAAGTAGTTAGTCCCACTACACATGTTCTTTGCTTTGTTTTCTGCACTTCATTATTATTCCAGCTTCAATTTAAATCAGAAATTGATTGACTGATATGACTGACAGGAATCTGTTTCTCAAGTCACAAGAGACATGTTTTCACCTCACAGATCTTTAGATACCATGTAAATCGTCTGATCTGTGCCCTACTCCCTCATTTGACATTTTGACTGAGCTTGAATTTGCTAAACATTGAATGCAGGAAAAGCTTACCCTATTAACACCCAGTCTTGCTCTGTTTGGAATTCATGTTATTCCCTAACTATTTGTTTTTCTATCTCAATTTCTATATTCTTACTATGGTTATCCTACAGGCTTTGCCCTTTCATAATACCGCTTAGATATGTTACCAAAGTCATATGGTCACATCTTTATAATTTCAATAGCTGATCTGGAATTCAAATCAGGTAGAATTGTTAGTATAATTTTTTTATTCCATTACAACTGCTTCATACTAACAACCCCTCCTACTAGCTATGAGCTAAACTTTTTTACCTGATCTGTAGCGATGAATTCAAACTGTAATTTTTGTTGACCATAATATAACCTTACTTTTATAGTTCAGTGAAAAGTAAAATCACACAAATAATGAAATCAGAAGAAAATTCAAAACGGAAAGTCCCTAATCAAATGGCAAAATCAAAAGCTCAAACACATCAAACGACTGAATAACAACTGTCATATTCCTGACTTGGTACAGGCATTTTCTTATGTAGAAAATGGTGGATAAAACCTGGTTTTATAGCTAGCTAAACTTCTCACAATGTCAGTCAAATCAAATTCCTTTGAATGATTATTTATATATTTGTTTTTTTGTCTCAGCTTGATAAGGTCGTTGATACAGTTTCTGGCGGCAGCCTGGGTATCAACAATTTGTTAAAAATTTGTGATTAGTTCAGTTTAAGGGGAACCACTAACAGTAATTTTATTGGTAATTGATATACAGTTGTATTAACCTTGATACAACTCATGTCCATGGAAATTTGTTCGTCCGTTTCCCTCAGTCATCCAGTCTATTGGCATTGAAACGTTTTGAATGATTTTCATAGTTTTCATGTTAAAGTTTGTGTTTAGGTCAGTTTGATATCAACCACTAATAGTAGGTTAAGATATTTGGTATGTAGTTGTATTAGCATTCGCAGGTCTCAAATTTTATGGCTAAATGCTCACTTCATGGTACATTGACTTTGAAACTTTTGCGTAGTTTACATGTTAAATTGTGTGTTTACGTCAGTTTAAATCGCACCACTTGATAGTACTTGGTCTTTAGTTGTTTTAGCATTGACATTTCTCTTTTCCACAGTATGTCAACAGTTGATTTATTCAGTGATTTTTATAGTGACTCTAGATGCTTTAAAGTTTCGTTAGTCTTATTTGACAAAATTACACTGATTGTGATTTGTTTTGATGAATAATGTGACTATAAGAATCAGATGTGTATATAATTGTTGTAATAAATTACAAATTACAAATATTTTATTGGCACAAACTCAATTGCAATAATTGGCAACGGCCCATACAACTAGTATACAGATAGTAAATATGATGCAGCAATTAAACAATACTACATAGCATATCAATACTACATAGCATATTAATAGGCACATTTCGAACAATGAATGCACATGTTTGAATAAATGAGCACTTGACCTTGATCTCGTGGCAAGGTAATTACTTTGTTTTGCTGAAAAGATCACTGTGTTTATATAAAATGTTGTTTTTGAAATTATTTGTTCTTCATGTTCTTCATCTTAATACGGGTCTGTCTGGCCTTTACTTTTACATTTGACCACTTTTTGATTAAATCCTTGTCCATTTTTTTCCTGCTCATAACTTTTATAAAGGTAACCAAACTTTATGTGTGGTTAACTTGGTATGCAGTTGTATCAGCATATGAGGGTATGTCATATACCAGAGTCAGCTCACTCTGACCTTTGTTTTGACCTATGACCTCTTTGTTCGTAAACTTTTCCTTTGTGTCCTTTGCATAAGT